CTTGGCGGGCTCAGAGACAAACTAATATTGTAAAAAGGTACGACATAGGGGTACTTAGAAGGACAGTTCTGAAGAGAGGATTGGTAAGGACCCACTCTCATGACAAAGAAAGATTGTTTCAATCAGATAGTAACAAGGGGGAGAGCTGGTGGTTTGTCAAGCACCTTAGGCTCCCAGGATGCAAAAGTTGGAATAGCAAAAGAGACTCCACCCCTCAAGGAGAATTTAAAGAAGCACCTTCAGAGTAAAACCTTGCTTGCCTGCTCCCTCAGTGGTACAGCTTTCTTCAAAATGTTTTATAGCTGCTCTTTGCCCAACACCCTCCAAATGTCAGGCCTGTAGTCACATGAATATCCCCTAACTTCCACCATCCCTGTCCCATAAACAAGAAGCCACACTCACCCTCAAGTCCTTCCTCTCCTTCACCATCCACCACAGTGTCCTGACCATTCTACTCCCCTCAAACGACTACTCTCTCCAGCCATCTGCTCCCTGCTTGGTCCAGGCCATCATAAGCTCTTCATTAACCACTCTATGCTTCCACTGTGAATTATTTAAATTTGGGTGTTTTTTATTTTTAAAAGATGATAATATTTTATAGATTTCTTTAGAGGATAAAATAGATTGATACATGTAAAGCATTTACACTAAGTGCCAGAACCACAGGAAATACTCACTTAATGGTAATTATATTTCTTGCTGTTGATTGAGAATACTGAAGAGAAGACAAGGATAAAACCAAGGCTCAAAGCCCAGTTGTGATGATAGAGGCAGTAGGTTGCAAATGCAACATTCTGGAGCCCTGTGGGAGATCCAGGTTCAGATCCCAAGTAGACTAAAACATGCTGGGTACACTCACAATCCTGGCTGGAAGGATGGGAAGAAAAGGATAGCAGCATGGTGAGACCCTGCCAAGGATATCTCCTCTGTGTCTCTCATGGAAGGAAGGAGAGAAAGAAGAAAAGGGGCGGAGTTAAAATAAAAGGCCTAAAACTCCACCTCAAACCCAATACCAATTACACTATATCACAATTATCTGTTCACTTGCCTTTATCTCCTATTGGGTTGAAAAAATTCTAATTCTATACTATATACTCATTTAATAGTCTTTCATGCCATTTTAATCAAATAGTGACTAGAGATTATAAAAACATATGGAACACATTTTTTTTTAAATCATGGGCTTTATGCCCTTCTCTCAAATCTAAAAATTACATAGGCAGAATCACATAGGCTCTAACAGAAAAAGATGCTCAAATATTTAGCTTTCCAAAATGTCATATTTGAAACACTTTACACATATACAGAGTTTTGCGTTAGACAGTCAAGACATCTGTTTTCTTGGCCAGAAAGTGTAGGCGTCCACAGAGATTTAAGCTAGAGACAGCAAATGTTAAACAACAGCTTCCAGAACCAGGGTGGCCCACACCCAGGCTGCCCATGTTGGAGCCCTGAAGCGTACGTGTCCCCACTGTCAGAAGGGATTCTATAGGTAGGATGATAAGAGGTTGACTCACTCCACTTTTCTGACATACACACTCTGGATCACAAGCCCCCTAAATTCTCCTGCCACCTCTGGTTCAATATGTTCTCATCCAGCCATGTTCAATAGTACTCTGAGGAACTTTACTAGCTATCAGCTAGTCGCAGTCCCTCTCAGAGACTTTTCTAACAAAGACACTGCAACACATGGTACATAATCTTTAATTCTTTAAGGAAAACAAACTGGAAGTTTTATTTCAGAAAGGGAGAACCTTGCATATGAACTTGGGTTAAATTCATATATACAGGTACATGAATGCATATAATATCTATTAACATAAAAAATAGTTGCCATTTAGAAATGCTCAAGGATTTTACTAAAAGAAGATCCTAAGGGTCAGCCCAATAGCCTAATGGCTAAGAAAGCTGGATACCACACAGCCAATTATAGTCTGAATCCCAGCCCTAGGGACTTGAAAAACACAATGAACGCGCATGGGTGCCCCAAATCCTGTGGGATGGAGAAATAAAAGGGAAAGGATGGGATTGTGGTGTAGCCACACTCCATTTGTGGGGTGTTTTCTCTCTCTTGCTGGAGAGTGCATGTGCCCTCTGGCAATCACATTTAAAAAATTAAAATTAATAAAATACTGAATATATTGCACTTTTTTGTAAGGAAACATATCTTAGAATCAGTTTATGCAGGAGTCACTAGGACAGAAAAATGGAATTGAAGTTTGAGCTTATTTTGGTACCAAAAATCTTGATATCCACATAAAATTTTTTTTATAGTATGTGTTTTCCATGAATTTTGTCAAGACTTATCATATTTTGTAGTCTTTTGACAAGTTATTTAAACACCTTGCACTTTGGTTTCTTCATATGCAAAGTGTGAATGATAGAGCTTTTCTTCCTAGGTTTTATAATATTGGTTTTATATTTATTTTTCTTTTATTTGGAGGGGTTTCTGCTACAGGGCATGTGCGCTCGCCAGAAAGACAGAGAGAGACAGAGAGACAGAAAGTGAGAGATCACCCCCCAGGGGACATGGCCACGCTGCAATCCCTTCTCCTCCATTCTCCTCTCGGGATCTTGGGCACGCACACACATGCACCCAGCGTGAGTTTAAGCCACTGGGTCCAGGACTCGAACCACGGTCAACTACATGGGAGTCTAGCGACATAGTCATTATGCTAACTGCTGGTCCCAATACTGGTTTTAAAAAGAAGGTGCCTACCAGCATTTGAGGAACATCACGGCAGAGAAGACTAAAAATTGGGAGGGGCCCCTAACACTGTTAAATGTCAAAAAGTGAAATGGTCTCTCACTCATGTGCACACACTCGCTCACATTCTCTCTCACACATACACACATGAGAAACACAAGCTATTTCCCAAAATTAAATTCAAAACCCAACAGGCAGAGAGATTTAAGTGGAGAGAAGCTAAGAGGCTAGATTATGGTATATAAGAAGAAAAACTCATATAATGTGCCCACAATCCAAAGTACTTAGTCATTCAAAAGTCCCTCTGAATAATACAACCTTTCTGGAAAATTAATACCTGACAATGTGAGGGTGTGTAAAACATCATTTTATTAGTGGAACTGAAAGGTCACTCTGCAAATATACTGTTTTGTTTCTGCAGTTTAGAATTAAATTCCTATATTTTATTTTAGAAATAGACATTTCAAGTAATTACCACTTTATCTCCTACATTACTTGGTTACATTACATTTAAATTTTTTTATAGGCTTTCTTTTATGATTTGCCATCTTTGAAAATTCACTGTGACTACTAATTGGCAATTGAGTGCAGCTGATATTGTCTCTTAACTATCAAAAATAAGATTATTATTGGAAATATCCAAACTAACCAAACAAGTTGCTCATGGGCCTAAGTTGTTGCTGTATCATTTAGAGATTCTGATGAGTGAAACTGAAACTAAATTTACAATTGAATTTATGGTTCCATTTACAGAGATTAATACTGTTATGTATTAAAAATGTTACCCTACTACCAGCTAACTGAAATAACATTGAAAATTAAATTAGAATTAAAGTAATGTATACTCACAAATTAATATTTTTAAAATTCTGGCTAATAATTATCCAGATTTTTTTTTCGTATACCCATTAGGAGGTAGAATAGCATGCTGGTTATGAGGCAGACATGAGTTTCGGTTCCAGGAACTGCATGACTTCTTAGCCCCCGAGATTCAGTTTCCTAATATGCGAAATGGTGATGTGTGAATAAGGGTGTATAACTCTTCCCAATCTGTGGAAGAGAGTGCGTTCACAGGAGCGAAAGGGAAAATGAGAAAGCACCCTTGAGGATGATGGCCATGCTGCAATCCCTTCTCCTCCATTCTGCTCTTGGGATTTGGGGCATGCACACACACATGTCCAGTGTGTTTTCAAGCCACTGGATGTCTTGAACTGTGTAATTGGCCATGTAGGACCTAGCCACCTTGATTATTGCACCACCAGCTGACCCACGAAATGATGATTTTAATAGTATGTGTACATGTTTATACAATAGGATATTGTAATGATTAAATGAGATATGCATATAAAGTCCTTGGTCCACCACCTTAATTACAGAAGTGCTAAATAAATGGCATTGAATTAGCTATAAAAACAGCACACACTAAAATGTTAAAACAAAAACAAAACAAGAAACCAGCAGTTAGCGTAATGGCTATGTTGCTGGACTCCCATGTAGTCAACTGCGGTTCAAGTCCTGGACCCGGTGGCTTAAACTCACGCCGGGAGCATGTGTGAGTGTGCCCAAAATCCCAAGAGGAGAATGGAGGAGAAGGGATTGCGGCGTGGCCATCCTTCCTGGGGGGTGATTTCTCGCTTTCTGTCTCTCTGACCCTGTCTTTCTGGTGAGCACACGGGCCCTATAGTGAAAAATCTCTCCCAAAACAAAACAAAACAAAACGATCATATCAGCACATATTATTAGCTATTTGAAGTCATTCCCTGAAGTTCTACACAACATGTCCTCTTCAACCACATGTGTCAACCATAAAGGTACATTAGACCAACTGCATTCCTGTTCTGGAGCAAATAATTAGAAAGCATAAAGAACATGCATAGAAAATAAAAATCAGAAATACTACTTGCATTTAGGGACTTTTAAAATTTTAACAAATGGTTTGGCAGATTGTTCTTCTGTTCCTGAATCCAGAAACATTCCTCCCCAGGTCCGCACTTCCATAGGGAGCATTACCTTGTCACATTCTTTCATGGTGGTAAAAGGGCCCAACAACCCTGGCTTAGACCACAGAGAAGATCCATTCTTCATTGGAGAAAGATCCAAGTGTCCAGCCCAGGGAAGATCCCAATAGGGCTGCAACTTTATTCTCCCCCAGAAAGAATGCAGGCTGCCAATGTTCATATTCTGGGGCCTGTCTCCCAACTAGGTTGTGGCTGAATGACAGTTCAGGAAAATCCACCGTCCTTTACTTGGTGATATCTTATGAGAAATGATCCAACAAACTACCTTGACTTACCCGGAAATAGTCGCTGCATGCTGCTAGGACAGCCTTATGAGCATGAAATTTCTGTTCCTCAGCAATCAGGGTGACGTCACAGAGGATGCCGTCACTTCTCTGCTGATTCAGTGCTGCCAGGACGCTATCATTGTGAGATTCAGAGTGGCACAGCCTCTGGCCTGTCAGCATTTCTTGAATACTACGAAGAAGAGCAATTAAGTCAATATCTTCCTTTCACCAGCCTGCTACCTGGATGCTCCTCACTCCTTCAACAATGAACACAGGAACTCGGTTCCAGTGTACTATGCATATGACCTTCAGATCCTCCCACCTTGTCTTCACCATTCTCTTGCTCTCCTTTTCTCTGATTCTTTCTGCTCCTTGTCCTCCCTGCTACCCCGGGTCTCTTTCTCTCTCCTACCAGTGTCTTTGAGAATTTATGTACGTATCCATCTATACCTAAATACTGGTGCAAGTCTGCTGACCTGTGCACCTGTTTCTGGGCCCTTGTCCCTCATTGTGTGTACACCTCAGAGTACAAAACTTGCCCTGGATGTATGTCTTGATATGTACATGGAGGTGAGTAGCTCTTCCCAATCTGTGGCAAGACACTAACTCTCTAACTCTCTGACTTCTTCTCCAGCCTTATACCTTACCACATCTCCCCACAGGACACAATACACTAACACACACAAGAAAACTGAGCAAAATATTGGTTAGAGAACAAAGGGCAGCAAGTGACCATTCCATATACAAGGCACAGCAGCTTATTAAACTGAGGGAAATAATGCATGAGAGGAACATTTTAACACTAACTCTCTAACTCTCTGACTTCTTCTCCAGCCTTATACCTTACCACATCTCCCCACAGGACACAATACACTAACACACACAAGAAAACTGAGCAAAATATTGGTTAGAGAACAAAGGGCAGCAAGTGACCATTCCATATACAAGGCACAGCAGCTTATTAAACTGAGGGAAATAATGCTTGAGAGGAACATTTTTAAAAGTCACTATAAATGAAAATAAAATTCAAATGTAAAAATCTATATTATCAGCCTTCAGTGTCTATGTGTGATCATATACTAGATTTACAAATGACATATGATATTATTTTTCTTTCTATTTTGTGAGATTACTAGACTGATCAATTATAATACTTACCCTTTCATTCTATACCCTACCTTAAAACATTTATCTTTATGTCTTTTCAAAATTTGTATGTGGGGACCAGCAGTTAGCATAATGGCTCCGTCACTGGACTCCCATGTAGTTGACTATGGTTTGAGTCTCGGACCCGGTGGCTTAAACTCACTCCGGGCATGTGTGCATGCATGCCCAAGATCCCGAGAGGACAATGGAAGAGAAGGGATTGTGGCATGGCCATCTCCCCACGGTGTGATTTCTCGTTTCTATCTCTCTGTCTCTCTCTGTCTTTCTGGCGACCACACGTGCCCTATAGCAAAAACCTCTCCAAAAAAAGAAAGAAAGAAAAACAAAAAACAAAAAAAACCTTGTATGTGCAACTCTAGATTTTCTGAAAAACAATGTAGGCATAAAATGCAAACTGAAATTATAGACAAAAAGTCTATAATTACAGACAGAAAATGTAAACTGAACTTATAGGTAACTATGGGTAATTCTAGCAAAAATCTCCACAGTGCTCTAAGATCTCAGAACTGGTAGGGTACTAAGATGAGTGGGCTGTACCAGTCACAAGTCACTACCAGAATGAGAATGAGCGACATCAGTGCTATTTGGCCAGCAGGCTTTCCGTAAAGCTAAGTAATGATACTGTAGGAATGACTGAGCATTGTCTCTCCCATATTTATCCCTTCTGTGGGTGAAGAATTTGCTCATGGAAGCGAGGTTTATTGGCAGGGCTCTGCCTAACCTGTGGAGCCAGCTGGTTAGTAAATCATAGATAAGTAAAAATCATCACCTTAAATTAAGTCAATAGGACCAGTTAGGTGGTATGGTGGTAAAGGCAGCTGGATCCCACATGGCTGACAATGCAGTTCGAATCCTGGACACAGCTGCTTGAAGAACACACAGGGTGGGTGAGTGTGCAAGCCCAAACTCTGTGGAGGAAGATGGAGGTAAAAGGATTGTGGTGTGGCCATTGTCCCTATAGGTGATTTCTCACTTTCCCCCTCTGTGTCTGTCTCTCTCCAGAGAGCATACATACCTATAGCAAAAAATATTTTAAAAAATTGAGAACCAGCAGTTAGCGTAATGGCTATGTCGCTGGACTCCCACGTAGTCGATCGCGGTTCGTGTCCCGAACTCAGTGGCTTAAAACTCACGCCGGGCGCGTGTGCGTGCGTGCCCAAGATCCCGAGAGGAGAATGGAGGAGAAGGGATTACGGCGTGACCATCCCCCCGGGGGGTGATTTCTCGCTTTCTGTCTCTATGTCTCTCTCTGTCTGTCTGGCAAGCGCACGCGCCCTACAGTGAAAATCTCTCCAAAAAAAAAAAAATAATAATTAACCAAATGTTTTTCATGACATGCCAGAGTACAGACAGTAAGCTTTAGTGGACATTTTTTTGGTTGCGAAGAATCAGAAATGTCAGAACTATGTCAAGAAGAAAAACTTGACAGGAGGTGATGATATAGGAAGTTCTTGTGGGAAGGTGGGAGGATTATTTTCAGTTGAAATGGAGCACTGAGTTTTGAAATGGTTACTGTCATTGAATATTCATCTAGTGGCTCTAGCTATAGGCAGACTTTTTAAATCAGTCATTGAAAACTACATTCAGAAGCATACATAATTTTTTATGAATTTCTATGCAAAGCCTAGAATGGAGATTATTTAGCATCACTCAGTTAAAGAAATGAGGAAATAGAATGATAATAGAAATATTGTATCAGCTGAGTAAAGCTTATACATAACCTTTGAAAAATCTTTCCTAAGAGGATGGCATTTTGGGACTAGCCAATACTGTTGTGGTTGGGGCAGCTGGATCCCATGTAGCCAACTGCACTGTTCAAGTCCCAATCTGGTTGCTCAGAGACCATGCTAGGTGCACGCGCATGTGTGCTCAAAATCCCAAGAGAAGAATGGGGGCGAAAGGGTTGCAGTGTGGCCATTCACCCATGGGAGTGATTTCTGACTATCCTCTCTCTCTCTCTGTCTTTCTCCAGTGAGTGCATGGTTCCTATACAAAACCTTATTTAAAAAAATTTTAAGGGACCAGCAGTTAGAGTAATGGCTATGTCACTGGAATCCCATGTAGCCGACCACGGTTCGAGTCCCAGACCTGGTGGCTTAAACTCACACCAGGCGCATGTGTGTGAGTGCCCAAGATCCCAAGAGCAGAATGGAGGAGAAGGGATTGCGGCAAGAAATCACCCTGGGAGGTGATTTCTTGCTTTCTGTCTCCCTGTCTCTCTGTGTTTGGTGAGCGTATGTGCCCAATAGCAAAAAAAAACTCTCAAAAAAATTTTTTTTAAAAGATGACATTTCTACATATTTAACAACACATAGTGCTTATCATAGTCCATGGGCTATCTTGGTGATTTACAACAGTCAAATAATTTAATCTTCACAACAGCCCTCTGAGGAGGTACTATTATTCTCTCTGTTCTGGAGATAAAAAATACAAAAGGCTCAAGACAGGCATTTTCAGAACATATCACCAGGAACACAATAATGTAACTTTTTCTGGTTAAAAAACAAAACAAAACAAAAACACAACAAAATGATAATCTGTAAAGATATTTATAGTTTTATCAACTGGACTAGGGAGAAATGTTTACCGCCTGAAATATTCACTATGCAAGTTAAATAACATGATTGGATGTATAAAAGAAAATGAAATTTAAAAATGTAAAAAAAAACAACAAAGCAAAACAAAACATTGTCCAAGAATAAATCAAGGGTATTTATAATACACTGCTAAACATTTTATAAAGTTTTCACAAATACTACTATTCTTGGTTATAATTTTCTTATTATTTTAATAAATATGACAGATTTGCATGTATGCAGCTATGGTTGAAAGTATATGATAAAGGACTATGGCCTAGCATATGAATAACCCTGTGTTACTCATTCATGGAAAAGTTGTTTTATTTTGAAATCTGTTATAGTCATTCTATAAATGAAAAATAAATCAATTAATATGAAAAATAAATTAATTAATATGATACCAGGTATCATATTAGCAGGAAAATTAAAAATAAAACAAAACAAAATGTAAAGATGATCTTAAAAATCTATACTTGAGGTGTTAAGAAAATCACAAAAGTCCCTATTCAGTTTTTTATTTATATTATGTATAATTAACCTCATAGAATAATATACATGAACATAATAACATGAGACAGAAAGAAGAAATCTTTCAAATCATACTCCAAAATCATTGTCTTCATACTGTGATTAAAAGTTTGGGAATGGACATGGATCCTGAGCTTCAGCTGTGAAATATTGTTTTCAGAGATTTAAAATGAAGATTTTTCTGCTGAGACTTCTTCCTCACTTATTTCTAGAAAGGCACAAACCAAGGCTCATCTCGACATGGATCCTGAGCTTCAGCTGTGAAATATTGCTTTCAGAGACTTAAAATGAAGATTTTCTACTGATATTTCTTCCTCATTTATTTCTACTCCTACACACTAAATGGCTAGACAGGTCCAAGTGAACAGGAACTAAACATCTAAATACAATTAGGGTCAGAATATTCCTCTATTCCCATTGATTCTGATGCAAAGAATGAGAACAGAATAGAGGAGAGATTGCAGAACACCTCCTCCTGCATGCCTCTGAACACTCAGATTGCACTTCAAGAATTAGGAAAAAATGCACCATCCATCAGATAATTAGAAATCACTGCAGGGTCACAAGAAATATGGAAAAACAAGAAAATATCTCTCCTCCAAGGAAAAAGAAAAACTCTTCTTTATCCTCAGACGGTATGATGAAATTCATTGGAAATGTCAGATAAAGAATTTAGAATTTTCATGGTGACAAAGCTCACAGAGATCAAAGAGAAGAGAGACAATGACTGCCAAAGAGGAAGGGGAAAGGAGCTGACAAGTTTCAGAAGGTGAGGAAATTCTTGCAAGATCTAAAAGAGGAAATATGCACTATAAAAAAGAATCAAATGGACTCTTAGACATAAAGGCTATAATACAGGAAGTCAAAACCTCCCTCAAAAGTATTAAAAGCAGATTAGATCATATAGAAAATAGAATCTCAGATGTAGAAGACAGAATTGCTGGCCTAGAAAAATCCACCATGAAGACAGAAAATTGCCCCCCAAAAATGAGAATAATATACGAAAAATACTAGATGCCATCAAACATCCAAATATCTGGATAACTGGTATCCCAGAAGGGGAAGAGACACATAAGGGCATTGATAATCTATTCCATGAAATCCTGCAAGAAAACTTTCCAAACCTAGAGAGGCATTCAAAGATCCAGTCCCAAGAAGTACAAAGGACCCCCAATAGAATCAACACAAGAAGATCTTCTCTAAGACACATTATAGCCAGATTGACCAAAACCACAGACAAAGACAACATACTAAGATTGGCAAGAGAGAAACGTCAAATTACCTACAAAAGCTATCCCAACAGGCTGACAGTGGATCTCTCATCGGAAACAATGCAAGTGAGGAAAGAATGAGAAAGTATATTCAAAGTGTTAAGGGAAAAACAATTGCAACCAAGGATAATATACCTGGCAAGATTATCCTTCATATGGGAAGAAAAGACAAGAATATTCTCAGATAAAAAAAACCTGAAAGAATTTACCAACACCAGACCAGATCTCCAAAAAGTTCTGAAGGGAGTGCTATACCAGAAAAATTAAATATAGTCACACAGAAGTAAGAGTTCAAAAACTAAGAAAATGGCCAACTTAATCATGGGGACAAGTCTAGAGTTGAATATTATATCTCAGAAATTAACTGGGGAAATCAAACCACAACAGAAGATAGATTAAGTACATGAGAATGAGCTGGTAAAATAGAATTTTATGACTTTTGACTAAAACATTGCTGATTTTCTTCTAGGCTTTGTTCTCCAGTTTAAAGGATTTTTGTCTTGTCTCGAGCTGCCAATAGGTTTATGTACCTATTATTTGAACAGAATCCCAACCTGTTTCCTGGCTTTAAATTTTAAGCATATTTCCTTAGCATTTCTTTGATTTATTAAAGCTAAATCTGCTTTTCTTGAAAATATAGTAAAAAATTCATAATTAATTACCATAGTAAGCTATATAGCATCAGCTAGGTGCTACCTTATAGTATACTCATTCTACTCAGAGTTTTCATGCCTAAAGTCAGACATGTATTCATAGATATGTATATATCAGCAGAGCTTGCTATTGAAAGTAGTTAGATTATTTAAGAAATTTTGTGAATCAACAAAACATGGGGAAAAAAGGAATAGAAAACAACTGTGGACACCTAAGATAGTGTGGGAGGACGATGGGGAATGGCAGAAGGTGAGAAATGGGGGGGGGGATATATATATGTATACATATACATATATATATTTCTATATATATATTTCATATATATCTATGAAACTAGAAATGGAAAATTATTGACGATAACATGTATGATTAAGCCACCATGTAGCATATTCTGGATGGAAAATCACATTTTGTATGCTGCGACAATGCTCAATGAATGAATGTAAATTAATTAATTAAAAGCAAAAAAATAAAACAATTAAATAAAAAATAATAGTTTAGGGATGGAAAATAAATTTTAATGATTTAACCTTAAAAATGTATTTGAAACTCTTGCAATTTCTTTCCTCCCCTTTTATATCACCTTAAATGCTAAATAAATGTATTTTGAAATTCCATTTGTAGTGGAACAGAAGAATATATTAAAATAATTGCCTTAAAGTGTTTCCTTACTCATTTTCCAAGTATAGTGCCACAATTCATGTCATTATGATTAAGACTGAATCAGTATTTGCATTTCAGATATCTACTGAGAGTGAATAAATCTTAGGGAAAGAGCTGCTGTAAAATTAAATTTGGCAAAGAATAAAGGGCTTGGTTTCGAAACAATAGTGATGCTGCACAATTTCACAGGATCATTCAGCTGGGCTTGAAATATTCAAGCTTAAAGAAAACAACATGCTAAATATTTAAGACAACACTTGGCACAAGAACCCAAATATTTTGGATCCAATATGTTAGGAATCCTTAAGAGCAGAAACAAATACTCCAACATTTGGCAAGAAATAAAGGCCTATTAATCAACAAGACATTATTGTATTCTGAAAGTACTTCCCACTCAACTCTTAGATCTAAGTCTGCATAAGACTCAACCCTTCAAATGGTAAGGCACACGTGACTACAGAACACAGCTGCAAGGTGACAGTCCCATTCCACCAGGTCAATATAAACCAGAGAGGAGATAAATCAAAGACTAAAGAGAACTATGTCAGATCCTTTTGTGGATCATAAGTATGATGACTGGGTGTTCACACCTGTGTGTGACATGTGCCTTCTTCCTTGTTATGATGTCAGCACAGCACCCATCTGACAAGAGAGAAAATAATGTCCCTCCCCACCCCAACCGGAGACCAGTTCAAGCAGTTTTGCTGTATGCCAGGCTGCCTGTGGCTGCAGACCCTAATGACTGGGACCCATGCATCATTCCTCCCCACACTCGCCTTTGGACTCTCAAGACTTTGGTGTTTTGGATAGTGTGTGGCGTGCATTGCATGCTGCACAATCTTTTCTTTGCTCCTGGGGTGAAGCTCAGCAGTTCAGTTTCAGGCGCATCTGTTCTTTAGAAACAGGAAGGACTTTGGGTCACCCAGGACCAGTGACAACAGTGCAGAGTACTGGTGAGAAACAGGGGGGCAGACCAGAAGAGAGATCGCCAATTTCCTACTCTTGCACACTTTTGAATGCTCACAGGTACCTTGGATAATTTGTGAAGGATCATATAGGTCACCAGATGACTAGGAACAATCGCAGAGGCACAAGAAATATGAGCAACGAACAAAATGTCTCTCCACCAAGGGAAAATATCAATTCCACATCACCTGCAGACAATACAAGGGAAGTTGTGGACATGTCTGATAAGCAATTCAGAATATTTGTAGTGAACAAACTAACTGAGATGCAAGAGAAAAGAAAGGTCCAGAAGATGAGGAAGTCCTTTCACAACTTGAAAGAAGAAATAGACACCTTAAAAAGGAATCAAATGAAACTGTTAGGGATGAAGAATGTAGTACAGGAAAGTAAAACCTCTCTCGAAAGTATTAAAAGCAGATTAGATCACACAGAAGATCGAAGACAAAACCTCAAATGTAGAAGACAAAACCTCTGACCTGGAAAAAAGTATCAAAAAGATTCAGAAAACAAGCAAGAAAAATGAAGATAATATATAAGATATACTGGACACCATCAAACACGCCAACATCCAGATAACTGGTATCCCAGAAGAGGAAGAAAATAATAAGGGCATTGATAATTTATTTCATGAAATCCTGGAAGAAAACTTCCCAAACCTAAAGAGGCATTCAGATATCCAGATCCAAGAAATTCATAGGACCCCAAATAGAATCAACCCAAGTAGATGCCCTCCAAGGCACATCATAGCCAGGTTGGCCAAAACCACAGATAAAGACAAGGTACCAAAATTGGCAAGAAGGAAACATCAAGTTACTTACAAAGGTCACCCTATCAGGCTAACATCAGACCTCTCATCAGAAACAATGCAGGCAAGGAAAGATTAGGTAAATACAGTTAAAGTGTTAAATGAGAAACAATTTCAACCAAGTCCCCAGAAACAAACCCCAAAACTTACAGCCAACCGACTTTTGACAAAGGATACTGCTCAATCCATTGGGAAAAGGAAAACCTCTTTAGTAAATGGTGCTGGAAAAACTGGGTATCTACCTACAGAAAGATGAAACTGAACCCCCATCTTTCACCATTAACAAAAATCAACTCAAATGGAACAAAGATCTGAACCTAAGACCTCAAACTATAAAACTACTGGTGGAAAATACTAGGGAAATTCTTGGAGACACTGGGATAGGCAAAAGACTTCTTAAATAAGACTCCCAAAGCACAGGCAATAATCCCTAAAATAGACAAGTGGGACTATATTAGACTAAGAAGTTTCTGCACAGCAAAGGACACAGTAACAAGTGTGAACTGACAACCCTCAGAATGGGAGAATATTTTTGTAAAATATGCCTCAGACAAGGAACTGATAACCACAATACATGGAACTCAAGTGGCTTACTTGAAAATAAAAACTTATTAACCCAATTAAAAGATGGGAAAATGAACTGAACAAAAATCTCTCTAAGGAAGACATACAAACAGCCAAAAAGCATATGAGGAAATGCTCAACATTCCTCATCATAAAGGACATGCAGATTAAAACCACAATGAGATACCACCTAACCCTTGTCAGAATGGCGAAGATTAAGATGACAAAAAATGTTAAGTGCTGGCGGGGGTGTAGTGAAAGGGGAACTCTCCTAAATTGTGGGTGAGAATGTAAACTGGTTCAGCCACTGTGGAGAACAATATGGAGGTTCCTCAAAGATCTACAAATAGAACTACTATTTGATCCAGCAACTTCTGAGTATCTACCCAAAGGACAGGAAAATGCTCAGGCGTAAAAGCGCTTGCACATTAATGTTTATTACGTCATTATTCATGATTGATAAGACATGGAACCAACACAAATGTCCACAAACAGATGAATGGATGGAAAAAGTGTGGCACATATACTCTATGGAATACTACTCAGCCATAAAAAAAAACAATAAGACCCTTGCATTTGATAGAAAATGGTCAGATACGGAGAATCTGTTGCTGAGTGAAGCAAGCCAGGATATGAAAGAAAAATATTGTATGTATCCACTTAATATATACTGACTAGCCACACTTTATAGTAGAGATTGAAATATTGGAGGACATAAAAGCAGTTAAAATAGTTGTAGATGCTGAAGACAGTGTAGAACAGAGCAGGAGAAGGGAAGAGTATAGAGAGGAATAGCAAGAGAACAAATAGAGAGGCATGACATTAGTGGGACACAGAAATGGTTTATAACCTGTTGATGATAACATGTATAGTATTCTCAACTGGACTAGTCTGAGAAACATTTCATGTTGGGTAAATTCTTTTTACAAGCCAAATGATATATTGTGATCAAATGTTTAAAAAATAATGAGAATAATAATAATAATAATCTGAAAAAAGATAAAAAATTATTTGATGATGGGGATAGTAATGTCTTTGTCTTGACTGATATGCATGGTATTCCTACTGGAAAAAGAAATGTGATACACTGTAAAGATACATGTGATTCAATGTAATATAAACAAGACTATGACAATAATAATAAATAAAATTTAATTAAAAAAAGAAAAACAACAAAACAAAACAAAAAGGGAGAGGGAGCAGACATGCTTACAAACAGCCCCCTTAGCACCTGTAGCTTGTAACAAATAAGCAAATAAATCTCCCAAACCAGAGCAATGTCCCTCCATTTCTTGGGGAACAAAGAAAAAGGGAGAAAAAGTATATACTGAAACTTCCTAAAATACTACGAAAATACTTAGAGCAGTAACCACATTTTCAAAGGAAAATAGATTCAAGGATCGTCCTAAAATTGGGAAAAGAAGCAATGTTGCTAACTCAAAATTTGCGGGTCAGGACAGAGAGTTTTGGCCTTCCAAATACAGTACCAATATCATAGAACTACACCATCTAATACAGTAGCCACTAGACACATTGGCTTTAAGGCATAAGAAATGTGTCTAGTACAACTGAAATGTGCTCTTAAGTGTAAATGCAAAGATAATATGAAGAAAAGAATACAAAATATCTCATTAATATTTTTATATTGATACATGTTCAATTATCTTGTTTTGGGTATATTAAGTAAAATATATTGTTTAACATTAATTTGACCTATTTTTACCTTTTAAAAATGTGATTACTTAAAATTTTTATTGGGTTGTCATAAAAGTCATGACATATTTTTGCATAGAAAAACATAGAAAAATACTTCATGACTTTTTTAATGACCCAATGATTATATATACCTCATACTATGTTTTTATTGGGCAGTACAAGTTTCTAGGTGGGTAAGACTTATACTTCTTTTCACCTGGACTCTATAAGGGCTGCAGGAGACCCCAGACAAGGTGCCAACGAGGACCGCTATTCCTGTATCTTACAAGACCTAGCCAAGGCCCTGGGGCAGTGGGAAGCCCCAAACTCCCTGAGCAGTGGATTGCTTTTTAGTATGCTAGCAATTACCCATTTGATCAGCTATCAGTGTGCAGTAAAGGGGAGATAGACAAATGAAGTATCAGGGAACAGGACTAATCATGCCTTCAACACTTTCACTTTTATTCTTAAATTGATCACAAAAAACTAGTGAATCAAATGCAGAGCATGATGTTGTAACACTGTACACCCTCCTCATAGTGAACCACTGCTTCAGTGCAAATCAGTACTTTGAATTCTTAAGAGTTATGATTTATGATCCCAGAAATCCAGAAATGACAGATGAGGTCTCATTTTCATAACACTAAATTTGACAAGAGTTTAAGATATAAATTCCAGAACAGCTATATGGTTTTTAACATCTGGATTTAAATTCTCAAATTCAAGTAAATTTCTACATTAATGTTTACCTACTACTTAGATATAGAAAAAAATGCAAGTAATTTTCAAGGAAGGTTACTAGGAAGGTGTTACAAACTTATATATTAAAACCAGTCACAGGACCAGCAGTTAGCATAATGGCTATGTTGCTGGACTCCCACGTAGTCGACCACGTCCTGGACCCGGTGGCTTAAACTCAAGTTGGGCGTGTGTGCTTGCGTGCCCAAGATCCCAAGAGGAGAATGGAGGAGAAGGGATTGTGGCATGGCCATCTCCCCTGGGGGGTGGTTTCTCGCTTTCTATCTCTCTGTCTCTCTCTGTCTGGCGAGCACACGTGCCCTATAGCAAAAACCTCTCAAAAAAAAAAAAACAAAAACCAGTCAAGTAGCATGAAGATTCTCATTGCTTGTTTGCTTGTTTGCTTTGAGAAATTTTTGCTATAGAGTACTTGCGCTTGCCAGAGACACAGAGAGAGACAGAGAGACATAAAGTGAGAAATCACCCCCCAGGGGGATGGTTACACTATGATCTCTTCTCCTCCATTCTCCTCTTGAGATTATGGACATGCACATACACATGCCAGCATGAATTTCAAGTCACCAGGTCCAGAACTCGAAAGGCGGTCAACTACATCGGAGTCCAGCAACGTAACCATTATGCCATCTGCTGGTCCTAAAGATCCTCATTTCTTAAACAGTCTAGGAAAGGTAGTCAAAGTACTTTTATACAAATTAATATATTAATATTTCCCAAACTGTATTTAAGTGGGCAAGCTATTAAAAGATTCCATAGAGAAATTTAATTTCATTTTTATAGAACACTTTATAATTTATAAGTACTTAAAAATGAATGCCAACAACTAATAGCTGATCATAACAAGCAAAGATAAGACTATGGTTAGAGAATGATCAAAAAAATAATGAAGACTATGAAGAAAAGAGCTCAATTACAAATGAAAAGTTTTGCTACCTTCTTTCCTTGCTTTCTTCACCAGAAAAAAAAAAAAAAGTTTATTCCACCTGTGCTAGGTATTAGGCTTGGTCCTAAGGATAAAATGATGGGCAGAACCCTCATGCCACATTCAGGTTAGTGGGGCAGCTGACACTAACCAAATAATCCACCCTTCCTATGAAGTAATGGGCTGAAGGCTGAGGACAAAAATGAGGTTTCCAGGCAGGAGAACAGCAAATGCTATAATCCTGTGGCAAAGGGAACACAACCCTTGCAAAGTGTCTACTGAACATTACCAGCTGGAATCCTGAGGACAAGAGCATGGTGCAGGTGTGGCCTGAGCTCCAGAAGCCTCAGTCCACTTGTGCAGGACTTCTGGGCCAGCTTATACTAGGGGAAATGGTAAAAGGTCATTTGAGCTGTGATATGAAGAGGGAGACTGGGCAGAACTATAGCAACCCTGGACTGTGGCTATGGTTTAGTGAGGGACAGATGTGAGTCTAATACTGGAGCACCGAGATAAAGTTTCAGAGGAGTGAATGGATTATGATGTTACTTAAAGGAGAAGTTTACAGGTCTTGGTGATGGATTAGATGTGAAGGTGGTGGGAAGGAGGGGACTGACAGAATAGGTGACTAACGGAAGATCAGAATTGCAGAAGAGGAAGATGATGAATTCAGTTTAGGAGATGTTAACTGAGTTGTCTTTAAGACACCCAATACAAATGTCAATGCATAGTTTGATTCATAGATCTGGAGCTCAGGAAGAAATATTGGCTAGATGAAATTCAGTGACTCATCTGCATAGAGAGAGTAACAGAAGCACTGCTGCATCTTAACACAAATGAGAGACGAACAACAATCAAAGGGTAGTAAGAAGACAAGAAATACGGGCTCAAGGACCAGAAGCAGGGCCGTACTGTTATGGGAAAGGAATGCCCCTTGAGCAACACAGAGTAAGTAGAATAGAAAAACATACTAAAAGTCTCAGCAATTTTTGAGGGGGGAGGGTTTGTTCATTACAAAGATCTTATGGAACCAGTGTTTAATAAGCATAGATATATGGATAATTGGGTTCATTTGCATTAGGGTTTCTCAGACAAAAGCATTAAAAAATAGAGGGTGGGAGAAATTAAGGACTTATAAAGAGCGCTAGGATCTAAACTGGTTAAGAAGAAAAATAAGAGAAAGAAAAGGTTGATGGGTTGGTAGAATGGAGTAGGACCCGAAGATGAGGCACTGCAACGAGGTCAAAGTACAACCACAGTGAAGGTAAGTAAATCAGCACAGTAGACGAGGAGAAGATCATGGTAGGCATAGAGTGGTTGATGTAGTAATTTCAAAAAAAAAAAGAGCAATTACTGGAGATGACAAGGTCCGAGCAAGGCACCATGGGAGTAGGGGCTGAGTGGAGGAAGAAGGCCTTTAGAGAAAAGCAGGTTGAGCATCCAACAGTCACAAAGCTGGACAGACCCTTCATGCTGACAGAAAAACTGGAAAGGCATAAAGGGTCTGTGATGAGGAGAAGGGCTGCAAGCCAGATGCCAAAGTGTTCAGCAAATGAGGCCAAGTGCTTCTGACCACAGAAAGAGGAGAGGGTGAGACAGATGAAGAGCACCACCTTCAGAAGAGCATGTCTTTGTTGTTTTTTGTTACTGGGACTTTCTCCAACTACCAGTCTGAGGGATAATAATCTAGAAGGAAACTATAGCCCAGGTTGAAAACAGTCTCTCTTCTCATCCCTGAAACACATGAGATGTGGGGAAATCATTGACAGAGCTACAGGAGAAGTGGCCTTTCGGAGAAGCTGGAAATGAACAGAGCTTTTCAGGACCAGGTTGACGAGACAGCAGGGCACATGGACAGGTTATGACAATTTCACACAACACAGTGCAAGAGTCTGAGCGGTGGGGAAGAGAAGCCTCTAGGTCAAAGCAGAGAAGGGGGTACTGTTAAAGAGATTACCTTGTCGAGCACAAATAATGCAATGAGCACTGACTAAAACAGGGATGGCAGAGATAAGGCAAAAAAAAAGTCATCATTTTAAGAATGTACACTGATTTTATTTGCTCCTGGGAATAAAATGACACTTGAGTTATTTCTGATTGTAGCCAGAAATAACTCACTTGGTTGGGGTGATGGCAGACATATACCATGGTCTCCATGGGCAGTACTGGCTAAATGCCAGATCCAGAGCAGAATTTCTCACTCTCAGTACTACTGTCATTCTGGGCTAGAGCTTTTTGTTGTTGTTGTCATTGGTGGCTATCCCATGTACAATGAGATGTTGAGCAGGATTCCTGGTCTCTTTATCCACTAGACACCACCTGTACCCTTATTGCTGTGGACAGCCAAAAATGTTGCCAAACAGTGCACAATGTACCCTGGTGGCACAGTCAGCCACCATTGAGAATCACTGCTAGAGAGCAACACGGGGAGAACAGAGGTTACACCTGCTACAGCAGGGCCGCCTTCCCTAAACACATTTTTAGAACTCATCATCTCTAGTAGCTTTAGAGTTACGGAAGAAAGAGGGTTTATTATTTAATAGATACACATAGTTCTTAATTCCCCACATTTACCACCTTATTTTCAAAGCTTATCTCTCTTATTCATTGCTCCAAAGATCTTTAGATTTTCCTAGAAGGAAGATGATTTGCATTCAGTGAGAATATTCAAGTGAAGACCTGCATTTTCTCATTGGCTGCCTCTAAGACTGTTTTTTAGAGAGAGATCTTTGCTATAGGGCATGTGCACTTGCCGGAGAGACAGAGAGACAAAAAAACAAACAAACCAAGAAATCACCCCCGAGGGGACATGGCCATGCCGCAATTCCTTCTCCTCCATTCTCCTCTCAAGATTTTGGGAACACATGCACACATGCCTGGCATGAATTTCAAGTTGCTGGGTCCGGAACTTGAACTACAGTCAACTATGTGGGAGTCCAATGACATAACTATTACACCATCTGCTGGTCCCAACTGCCTGTAAGATTTTGGAATTCTGTTATGCTCCTTCCTGCCCCGGGACATATCCCTATGTCACCTCATCCTTCAGATCTCAGCTTATAGAGTACATCTTCAAGAAAGCATTTCCTTACTGTATCTACCCTGTTCTTTTCCTTCAGAGCACTTTTCACTATATTTGCATCGTTACTGGTGTGATTGTTTGTTTAATGTTTGTTTCCCATAGAATATACATTTTGTGAGGGCAGGAACTTTATCTGTTTTATTCATAACTGGATCTCACAACTGGTTATGTCACCAGAGTGGTTGGTTCAGTAGTATTTGTTAAATACATGAAGTAGTAAAAGAATGTGTTATGAGCATTTTGACAATAAGCATTGTGCACCTCAAAGTGATTGCTTTATACATACACATATATGTTTTTTTCTTATTCTTTTTATTAAATCACCAGAGAGCATGTGCACTTGCCAAGGATGGAGAGACAGAGAGAGAGAGAGAGAATGCACTCCACAATGGCCCCAATGGGCACGGTCATTCTGCAATCCCTTCTTCATCTCTCTATCCTACTGGGATATTGGATATGCACTCATGCCCAGAATGTTTTTCAAGCCACCAGGGTCAGGATTAGAACCACATAGCTGGTCACGTGGCATTCAACTCCCTTAACCACTATACCATGATTCTGGCCCAGATTCTTTTTTAAAATCCTGTATCTTTTTAGTAGTATGCCATTATTCAAGAGAGGTTAGCATAGTAAAAAAGAAAAATAGAAAAAGTGGTATCATTCAAAGAATCACAAAATACATCTACGTTTGGGCAGTAACCAGGCCATAAAATTTAGTCCTTGTGCCATCATACTACATCACAAAAATTCTGGCTGGCTTCTTTATTCCTTTAAATATGTATTGATCCCCTGCTCTGTGCTCAGTTCTGGAATATGCAGATGACTATTTCAGAGTTCACTACACTAAGCAAGGATGGACCCTATTGTGCGTACCTGAGGCACCGTTCAGACGGCATTCTCCAGCTGGTTCCTCAGGGTCGCAGTCTTAGAAGTCTGCAGAGGAATCAGCAAGCATTCCAGCTGAATAAAAAGACAAGGAAGAAGAGTGTATTGAGATAAATGCAAAAAGACACACACTGTGCTTCTTGATGCTAAACTTTAGAATCCCAAGGAGGCAGATTAGACTTTCACAGTCGACATAGAACATCCTGACACAATGCTCTGTTAACAAGCAATGATTCTGGATCTTTTTTTTTTTTTATTTTGTTAAAACTTTTTCACTATTTTTTAAAATTATTATTATTGGCATTTCAAGGACTAGGACATAAAATATACTTAAGAATCCACATAAAATTTAAAAAATGTGAAAAAATAAAAAATCTAAAAATAAACAATGACTAATTAAAGGTTAAAGTAAATGAAAATGTTAGGTGGCCAAACAGAAAAACTAACATTTGATTAAACAGAGTTACAGTGACCTAAACCACAAATACTGGTTGACATGTCCTTTACAGAGATTTTACTTTCCTTTCAAACATGATTCATATAATTAAGTTAAGTCAAGAACCTCTTGGCTTTAGTCTATAAGAAATGTATTTCTATTTAAGAAGCAGATTTCTAAAACCTAGATTAAAAAAAAAACATATAGAGTGCATAAAAATTAGTAGGAAACAAAAACTGGATTCCTACAGGAACTTCAGGATTAGCATACTTGAAATATATAATAGGATGCAGTTGTCAGGCTTGAAATTGCTCCTTGGCTATATATTCACTCATTGGTCCCCGCCCCTCGCTCCCATCTTTGTTTTACTCACTGATGTAACTCTAAACAGAAGAATAAGTTATTTGGATAGTCGGGGACCTGGTCCATGACTAGGCTTTACAGCTCTTATTAAAGGGTCTAGCTCCCGTTTTCTAAAACACCCAAGTAGCAAAATTAATTACAATCTGGATAAGCTAAACACGCTTCCTTCTGTCTCAATTTTATTTTGAAAAGTGATAACAGGGTAAAAATGCTTATGAAAGGAATACGGTAAGCTGTGTGTGTGTGTGTGTATTATGCTGATTTGTATAAAAAAGAGAGCTATGATTTACAATCTGGCTTAAATATAGTATTTATTCTCTTGTAGACAAACCTTCAATGATTATGTAATACTTCACATAGTATATTATAATTTGGTTAAGTATTCGATTGTTATTGAGTATTATTAGGTTGCTTTTAACATTTTTCATACAATTACATTTTTTATTTCTTAGTTTCTTTCTTTTAATATTGAAAACAGCCCCTCTATACTTTCATTCATTTCTAAGTTAAGTTTTGACAAACCTAAAAGTGAGCATCATTTGTAATTGACCCATTATGAATGAGGAGCACTGGTGGTCAAAATAATTCCAGGCACATTGTTTAATTAGTGAAGAGAAACTTGCTTAGCAACCTATTATTGTTATCATTTCCTTTCAGAATCTGTATTATAAACTCCAAGCCCCTAGAATTTAACACAAACACTAGCAAACATGTACACTCGAGCTTTAAAATTACAAAGGATATTTATTATTACAGGGAGGTGAGAACCCTGCCTTCTGAAAGTTTAAAGCATTTTAAAATACTCCCAATAAATAAATGAATAGAGAACAAGAACCTTAAAAATTAAAATAATCCAAAATTAGGGGCCAGCATGTGGCATGGTGGTTAGGGTCCTGGGTACCCACATGGCTGACCGTGGTTCAAGTCCTGGACCTGGCAGCTTGCATTCTCACTTTCTCTCTCTCATGACTATAGCAAATTAAATAATAACAGTAACACAGGACCAGCAGATGGTGTAACAGCTACATTGCTGGACTTCCATGTAGTTGACCATGGTTCAAGTCCTGGACCTGGTGGCTTAAATTCACGCCAAGTGTGTGTGTGTGCATGCTCAAGATCCAGAGAGGAGAATGGAGGAGAAGGGATTGTGGCGTGGCCGTACTCCCAGGGGGTGATTTCTCGCTTTTTGTCTCTCTCTCTCTCTTTGTCTTTCTAGCTAGTGCACGTGCCCTACAGCAAAAACCTCTAAAAATAAATAAATAAATAAATAAATAAAATAAGTTTTTAAAGTTAAAAAAATCCAAAATTCAAGAATACATCTAACAATATTTTTATACACTTCAAACATGATCACACAAAAAAAGTAAGATAACATTAAATTCCTTTCTATAGGCACTTATTGTTTGAATGCCAATTTACTAAATAAGTTTTTCTCTGAAATTAATAATCTGCTACAGGGCAGCAAGTGGTATGGTGGTTAAGGTCGCTGGATTCCTACATAACTGACAGCATGGTTCGAGTCCAGCATCTGTCAGCTTGAAAAACACCCCAAGTTCATGTGCATGCATGCCCAATGTCCCAGAGGAGAAAGGAAGAGAAGGAATTTGGTGTGGCCATCCCCCCTGGGGAGTGCTTTCTCACTTTCCCTCTCTCTCCCTCTCTCTGTCTCTCTCCAGTGAACATACTTGTCCTACAGAAAAAAAAAAAGCTATATCCTATAAAGTTTAGTAAAATGGACACCATTTTGAAGATGAGTTAAAATGAATTAAGACTAAATTGCCACTAGAAAAGAGGTTTATTATAATTTATTATTGATTATTTACTATTTTTACTATATTCTACTATTTAATACTACCACAACACACACACACACACACACACAAGTGCCTTCAAAAGTACATGAAAAATGCATACTACCAAAAAATTATGCATGAACTTCAAAATTTTTGTGCCAAAATAAACTTGTACTTTTTATATTTTTGACCAGAGGGCACATGCGTTCAACAGAGAGATCACACCCAATGGGGTGCGATCATGCCATAATTTTTTCTTCTCTATCTTGTTGAGATTATGAACATACATGCACACATGCCTAGAGCGCTTTTCAAGCTGCTAGAACTGGGATTTAAACCACAAGGTCGGCCATGTGGGATATAGCTTCCTTAACAACTAGGCCATGAAATCAGCCCCAAACTTGTATTTTAATTCTGGTTTTCTACAAACTTTTTGGGGCCCCCCTCACATTTATACATTGAACTAAAATTAAAATCTGTGGGCAAATACATTCGTTGTAATAAAAAAGTTTTCTTTACAGTAAGTAAAGACACATCTCTTCTCCCTCTGCCCACATCCTTGTACTCTTTCCTGTGAGACACGGATTTCTTCCTAGCCCAAGACTCTTATTTATTCCCAAAACTTCAGTCTCTTATGGAATCAGAAACAAATTCAGAGCTGCACCAGCTTGCTGGAGCATTAGGAAGCAGAGTGATATGGAGGAAGACTACAGTTGCTCTCCAGGCATCCAGCTCTCAGGGCTGCTCACACACCATCGGAGACATAATCACATACAGCACAAACCCTACAGGCAGTGCTTTGTGAGCTGGAAGCATATGAGGAGACTCTTTTTCTGAGAATTGAAAGTGATCATCTTTGACATCTCTTTCAACTGTGAACATCTATAAGTTTCTGGGCCCACTGGCATGATGGAAGTCTCTCCTTGACCAAGAGACAGAAAGCTAGAAATTACCCCCCAAGGGAGAAGCTGCGCCACAATCTCTTCTCCTTCATTCTCCTCTCGGGATTCTGGGAACACACGCACACATTTCCAGAGTGAGTTTTAAGCTGCCTGGTCCAAGACTTGAACCATGGCTGACCATGTGGGAGTACAGCAATGTAACCATTATGCTATCTGCTGGTTCCTCTGAGCTTCTTTTTTTTTTTTTTTAAAGTAAGCCCTGTTTTTGGACAAATTCTTAACAGCTTTGTGGTCAACCACTGAATAAATAAAAGTATTATTTTGGTGATCGAAGAATTTATTAACTTCACTAAATATCATTTAAAAACAAGACACATCCTCATAGACATAGTTAGGAAAACATATGTTAAAATTTTAAGTATCTATCAACTTTTCAGCTCAGTTTAACAAATTTGGGAAGGAAGAAGATTTTCTTCTACAGCATAATTACTAACAAGAACAAGACAGGCAAGATACTTGAATATGCCATCCCAAAATATGTCTCTTTAGCACATAGATTATTCTGAGCTAAATAAAAGTCACTGAGAAGCATAAGGACATATTTTCCTTTTATAAAGAAAATGTACATTTATAAAGGAAATCTTTTATAAAAGGTCTCTTTCTTTCTTGTACCAGGAAGAGGAAGACTTAACAACTTATTAATGGAGAAGGCAGTGACTTTAATCTGCATAACAGTGTTGGCTCCCTAGCCTACTGGTTTAGGGAGCCTGATTTCACATGGCCAACTACAACTCAAAGCCCACCCCCAGGATCTCCAAAGACATACCAGGTGCACATGCAGCATGCCCCAAACCCTGACAGGATGGAGAAATAGAGAAGGGATTGAGGCGTGATCACACCCCATTGGAAGTGCTTTCTCTCTGTCTCTCTTCTTCTCTGGCTAGAGCACATGCCTTTTTTGCAAAAATCGGCGTAACAGACCTAAGTAAACAACTCATGTTTACCATACTTTCACTAGTTTCTTTCTTATAACTTATCTTCCCTATCCAGAAGCCCAAACCCTTTCTCCTCTGTTTAGCTTAAAATGGCATATTAAGCCAATTTCTAAACAGCCTTTGGGCCATTCATCACTGGGTGCTGCCACATGCGTACACGATGCATTAGTTTTTTTCCTTTGTTAATCTGACTTTGCCAATCTAATTTTAAGGTCCCAGATAGAGAACCTAAAATGGAGAAAAATACACTTTCTCCCCTCTCCTACAGCAGATACCGTGCTTTCCAATTAATAGTGGAAATCCAGTTGTACTTTTCAAAGCATGTGCACCAGCTTGCTGGAGCATTAGGAAGCAGAGTGATATGGAGGAAGACTACAGTTGCTCTCCAGGCATCCAGCTCTCAGGGCTGCTCACACACCATCGGAGACATAATCACATACAGCACAAACCCTACAGGCAGTGCTTTGTGAGCTGGAAGCATATGAGGAGACTCTTTTTCTGAGAATTGAAAGTGATCATCTTTGACATCTCTTTCAACTGTGAACATCTATAAGTTTCTGGGCCCACTGGCATGATGGAAGTCTCT